GTCCTGACCGCGTAGCTCAGTTGGAAGAGCATTGGGCTAGTATTCCAAAGGTCGTAGGTTCGAATCCCACCGTGGCCGGGCATATTTTTCAAGCTCGCCCGGTGCGGATATACACTCAGAGTAATATCATATTCACCTGAGTACACTACACCAACACAGAAAAAAATTCATATTACTAGAATACATTGGTATCGAAGGAACTAGATTCTGTTCCGAAATATCACTTACTCGAACCGTCCTGACCGCGTAGCTCAGTTGGAAGAGCATTGGGCTAGTATTCCAAAGGTCGTAGGTTCGAATCCCACCGTGGCCGGGCATATTTTTCAAGCTCGCCCGGTGCGGATATACACTCAGAGTACACAATCTTCTATACAGGACTGGCATCAGACAAAATAATAAACTGAAGATGGGGATTAATTGGTAGATTATTAACAATTATTGGAGGAGGTTGATCAGGATATCCGTAATTACTCTGACTTAAGCACATTTTCCACTCGGTGAATTTGTTCGTGCAAACAGTAAAAAGTAGGCACTGATCCAACTTTCGCAGCAAATTTTTTCACCAACTGACCAACTACATTGCCAAGGTTTGTTTTCACTTTGCACGAACAAATTCATCTAGTGGAAATGGGCTTAATAGCCTGTGTACAGGCTGTCTGAGGGTGAGGGACAGCCTGCAACCATCACCTCATGTTTTCGATTTTAATTAACCATATTAATATCCTATTTCCCGCCAATATATTGTGCAGAGTAATCAAAAATGGCGACTGCCGAAGGAGTTGAAGTGTTCAAAGATACAATTGATCAGGTTTCTTCAGACTTACATGGTAGGATTTTGTTGAAACGTGAACAGAAAAAAGCCCTCATTGATCTGTTGCTAAAAAAGGATGTTTTAGCAGTGCTTCCGACCGGATTCGGGAAAAGTTTGATTGATCAATACTTTGTTCTATCCAAGGCAAAACAGGGAGTACATCAAGGGAGTGTGTGTGCTTCTGCCCTCATTATTTGCCCGCTCTTAAGTATCGTCGATGACCAAATAAAGGAAGCAAAAGATCTCGGTATCACTGCCTGTCGATTAAAGGACTTTCTAGAAGAAGAAACTTGAACGTTACGTCTAGATTCTGATTGGCTGTTTGCTGTTGGGTTCTATAATTAGGTCAGTGATTCATCACAAAGGCTCTCGATAAGCTTAAAATTCGAAAATTGATCACTTTTTTTCGATTATAAATGGAACAAGAACAGACTGTTTATTGTTTACTTGAAGGAAGAGATGTTTTTGCCGTTATGCCAATGGGGATTGCTTGTCGTGAGGTGTTGGAATAGCAACATTATGACTGGCCGGACTGGGGGTAAACTATCGGTAACCTTTACTTGAGTTTCATTAATTTCAAACAGACTTGATACGTTATATGTTCCTCAAGAAAATTATTTTTTGGTTGATGTTGAGATGCAGTTGCATATAAGCCTATTCGAAACACTTTGCAATTTACAAGGTATTAAATTGCCATTTGAAACGAAACGATCTGGACTCTGAACGCTCTCTTCTTTTGTAGAGTTCTTTTATACCAAATGAAACAACTGAAATAAATTTTGTACTTTCCGCCGCCAACAAGAATTGCACACATGATCTGATAAGTGAGACCATTTATTTATAACAATGGCGACAGCGAAGTACACCTTATAAATGCCAATGTGGTCGCACGACTTCCCTCACAATTTGAAGTTTGAGACTGGTTTTCTGTTGAAATTCATCCTAATTTGCCTGTTCCAATTTTAGTTGAAAATGAGCACTTGCAAATTTGGCAATTACTGACTGCGTTACTTGCTTTTCTGGAGTTAAAACGCAGCCATTTACACATTGTTTATGTTCTGAATAAGCAGAGAAAACCCCGCAACATTTTAATGCGAGTTTGTTTGTTAATATTTGGGTGCTGTCATTGGTTCTTTTTTGACAATTGACGCGCGAATGGGGCGTGTTATGAAAAGGGGCGTTTTACAAAATACCAGGCCTTGCTTGCAGGCCCACTATCAGTTCCCTTGGGCCTGTACGCAGGCTATGGGCTTAAGGTCAATGTCATCTGCCGTAGCCGAAGGCTCATGATAATTGTGAAAAAAAATGCATGCTTGACAGTGGTGTTTTTGAATGTCTAGACCTCAAATAACATGTTGGAGCTTGGGCCTGTAAACCACAACCAAACCACCATAGGTTAAACAACTGTGTCGTGGCATATCACGTTTAAGTGTTTAATTATAATTCAATTAATATTAATTTCTTTTAGGATGATGCTTTCATATGTGTACATACCAGTGCTTCAAAAAGAACTGGATGTTTTCAAAAACACCATTTGGAACAACCACAGGGGAAGAAAGCAGAAAAATAAGGAATTACCAGATGGGATTCCAGAACATATTTACCATTTTCCACAGCATTATGGTGCTACTAAGTGTGGAACTCCAGTCAGTGATGAAGAATTGGAAGAAGTAGCTCAGCTTTCAAATGTTTTGGAAAATACTAATGAATATTTACCTGCAGAAATTAGAGAACAATGTGAAAGAATACTCCCTGATGTTCATGAAGTCTTGCCTAATGAAGCTTCAAATGCATTCGTATTTTTAAAGCAAAATTTTGATGCATGATACACTGTACATGTCAGTTGTTGTTATAGTTTAATAGCTTAGTGCAAAATTTTCGAAACATCGTTACAAGCTGGATACAAGCACCAAATTTTGCACATTTAATGTTTAGGGCATGACAATTAAGAAAAAATCATGCTCCAAGAAATCTGATAGCCGTGTGACCCTAAAGGCGGATTTCCACTCAGATTTTTCGAGCGAAAAAAATTCGCGAGAAAAAGATTGAGGGAAAAGTTTCTTTGCTGAATTTCCACTTGTTTTACTGTTCTGATTTTTTCGCGAAATGTCCGGAGCGACAGGGAAGGATATGAAGGGACAAAAAAGCACAGTCTCAGGTACATTAATGCCTGGGTCTCAGTTTGTGTATTTAGCGAAAATAGACAAAAAATCATAAAAAATAAGTATGGCCTTGATTATTACCATTCAAGTTTTATATGATTTATCAAAGGAGATTCTAAAAGTTGACCTACTTTTCGTTGTCATGGCAACGATCACGTGATGTATATTTTGAAAAACAACACAAAAAATGATACTTTTTATTCAGAGGCTCTGCAGCAGTATATTTCGTGACTGAGAGGATGCAGAATTGCGATAATCATTCACACATAATATCACTGTTTATTGAATAAATTCGGAAAGTTTACATTTAGGCTTTGTTTCATTATTTTATGCGGCTATACTACAATGATCGGCATCAAGCGAATGTTAATCGCGTCATTAAATGTTATCTACAAATAAATGTACGGTTTCCAAATTAACGCAGGAAACTTTGTTCCCTTGTTAATGTTTTTAGCTAATAAAAATAGCAAAATTTTGTCAAATTACCCTGCTGCAAGTCGAACGCGTTTTTCGTGTGATGAATTTCATGCGCCATAATGAAACAGTCTGCCGCTTATTGTAAGGGATATTATATTTCCAATAACAACATTCATCGCGCATTCAAGCCGATATCTTGAAGCATAGTTAATGCTTGAAGGGAAGTATGCCATGTGGAAAAGACCGAGTGAACTATATGTGTTATTAATTTGTAATTCACAAGCTATTTTTCATTGAAAATAAGAAACAGTCAACAATTAATACTGAATAATCGCAAGATAGCGCACTATAAGAAGCTTTTATTTATCAGCAGTTCAAAGGTCAGCTGTCGCAAATGATACAATACTTATTGCTATACAAAGAGCCAATTATTACATCAAAACTGAATAGTATACCGACTTCTTTGCATTGTATGTTCCAAAATAATCCTGTCACTCATATATACTATATTTTGATTTGAAGCAAACGCCCGAATTCACTAAAATACTCACACAAGGGGCGAATATTCTAACAGACGCATTACTGACAGATCGCGCGTGCAACACGCGCGCAAGATATCATCCAAGCGTGGGCAGACCCAGGCATTAACATGCCTGAGGTTACAACATGGCCGCTCTAAACAAGAGACAGCTTCTTCTCCTGCTACTTTTGAGAAGGAGAAAACAACGAAGAAAATACAGAAAAATATTCTGGGTACGAAAGATATTTGCAGAAAGGAAACATAAAGGAGAATTTCATTGTTTAGTCCAAGAAATGAAGCTGTTTGATCACGAATTATTCTTCAAACATTTTCGAATGTTGCCCAGTAAACTGGAAGAATTATTACAGTGGGTAGCACCAAAATTAACAAAGTCTGCGGTTAAACGAGATCCAATCGGCCCAGAAGAGAGACTATGTGTTACTTTAAGATATGTCGTAACTGGAGATTCACAAGTAACCATTTCTGGAAGCTACCGGATTAATCAAGCAACAGTTGGTCGTATTATCAAAGAAGCTCTGATGCTATCTGGGATACACTGGTCGAGAAAGGTTTTTTATCCGCTCCTGTGCAAAAAGATCAGTGGAAAAAAGTAGCACATGGTTTCGAAGAAAAGTGGAATTTTCCCCATTGTATAGGAGCAATCGATGGGAAGCATGTGGTTATACAAGCTCCAGCAAATAGTGGGTCAATGTTTTTCAATTACAAAAAATCATTTAGCATTGTTCTATTGGCTGTGTGCAACAGTAATTATGAATTTACTATGGTTGACATTGGGGAATCAGGGAGACAAAGTGATGGAGGAACATTTGCTAATAGTAACATTGGACAAGTCATCACTAATGATTTGTGTGACATTCCTGATCCATGTAAACTAGACAGATCAACATTTATAGCCCCATACGTTTTTGTTGCTGATGATGCATTTCCTTTACATTACAACATTATTAAACCCTATTCCCATATTAATCTCAGTCTAAATGAAATAATTGCAAATTACAGAATATGCCGGGCAAGAAGGACAATTGAAAACACATTTGGAATTATGGCTGCAAGATTTCGTATATTTCGTCGTCCTATTGTGGCAAAAGTATCAACAGTAGAATCCATCACAAAAGCTTGTGTAGCATTGCATAACTATCTTATGAAAGATCGTTTTAGTGATGGAGCTAGTCGATGCTGCCCTGTCAGATTCATTGACCAAGAAGTTCACAACAGGCAGAGAGATGGTCTGTGGAGAACTGTAGTGCAAGCTGATACCGGGCTCCAACCTGTTGGACGTACTGGATCCAATAACTATAGCAGAGATGCAAAGCTAGTGAGGGATCATTTTCGAGATTATTTTGTGTCACCTGCTGGATCAGTCCCTTGGCAAACAGAAATGATTTTGCTGCAATGCACCAGAGAATAAATAATGGTAATTGAACTGAGCGGAGGGCAATTTGGACTGAAATCAAACGTGTGATTACAAAGTCGCACAACTGCGAAGTGGGATTTGGAATCACAAGTTTGATTTCAGTCCAAAATTGCACCACACAAAGTTCAATTTCTTTATTATATTCATTTTGAAATCCTGAATCAATTTTGTAAACTGGAAACAATTAATTCTTTGTTTACAAAGACACACCCGCGATACTCCTTAATTATTGTAGTATAGCCTAGCAAACAAGCTAACAAGTTAAAGCTAAAATAAATGCAAACTAAAAATTTATCGTGGAAAGATATTGAAAGGCTACAAAGTACTTGCAAACATACTATAGTTTTATAAATAATTTGATAAAGGTTTGGTGTGGTAGTGTCTATTCAAACCACAACCGCCGAGTCATTTACACTTGATACTATGATCACAGATCGACAAATTATTTACCTTGTTTTATACCTTGTTTTATTCAAAAATGTTAGGCAGTCTATTGACAAATAATAACTAATTACAACTTGAAAATTCATGATGATCAGATTTGGTTGTTAGGCAGATCACATTTTTCTTAAAATTGATTGGCTGGTTGAATCCTATAATTAAGTCTGATTAGTTAAAAAAATGATGTGATTTCAACTCAAGCTGTTGCAAGTAATTTTGAAATCGCATTGATATGAGTGCGATTTGTGCTGAAATTGCACTGCTATTAGCCAATCAGATTGCAGGAAACCTCCATTGATTTCAAAATGAATATTAATAATAAATAGGTGAATGACACAGTGTGACCATATATGCAATTTTTTTTACTAAAGCTGCTTAAAATTGGTTGGCTGCCCCCTCCTGTTCTTAATGTTGCAGTTGTTTAAAGCAGATGGGGTTGTCTAAGGGCATCCAACCGGATCTGGTAATAAAATGTACTAAACCTGGTCACACTGGAATGACATTCTTTGGGTTTGAGAACAATACAATACTTTGGCCTGACGTTTTGTGCACATAGAATGTAATGTAATGTCCATGCACAGTTATATACAGTAGTGCACAATTAATATGTACTGTAGATAATTAGGTCTTTTTTATCTTTTTGCTCAAAGACTATAACCTATTATAAGCAGAAGTATCACTTTGAGATTTGGCTAGCCCAATATGTGTCTCTTGAAATTTATCAACCCAATTTATCAAACCATGTGTGAAGTGTTTCCTTGCGAAATGGAGTATCATTGGCCAAATTTAACTGTTTATTATTATTCATGAATATTTACAATACACCCAGGATATGAAACACTTCAGTAAAAAATTACTGCTATTACTGTGTAACAATCCGATAAACAATTTGATTATTTCAAAAGTAATATTAAATCTTGGAAATTAATAAATGAAGTTATTAATAAGAATAAAGGTTCTAGAAAACTTCCAGCAATTTTTAATTTAAATGATACAGAAAATTGTCGAAATTGCTAATCATTTTTGTGATTATTTCAATAATATTGGTTATAACTTAGCCAAGAAAATTCCTGATGCTAATATTTCACATCAAACTCATTTATCTGGTTATTTATTCCAGTTCAATATCACTAAATTTAACTACCCAGCTGGAAGTATCGGATATAATCAATTCACTATGATCCGGGACTGCTGCTGGTTATGATAATATTCCGATATCTGCCTTGAAGGATTCTGTTGACTTAATCTCAGGACCGCTTGCTCATATAATTAATTTATTTTTTTCCCGTTTTTTTTTTTCTGATAATATGAAAATCACTCGTGTTATTCCCCTATTCAAATCCGGTGATCGTAGGATTTTCCAAAACTATAGACCCATATCAATCTTACCAATATTTTCAAAAATACTTGAAAGAGTTCTTTACAAGCGGGTTATGGAATACATAAACATATCGGATATTCTTTTTCACAACCAATATGGCTTTAGGAAAAATCATTCAACTTCTCTTGCTTTAACTTACTTATGTGATAAAATAACATCAGCAATAGATAGAAAGCAGTTTACAGTTGGAATATTTCTTGATCTTTCTAAAGCTTTTGACATGGTAAATCATAGTATTTTGCTTGATAAACTTTATCACTATGGTATCAGGGGAGTAGCTTTCAATTGGATGAAGAGTTATCTTAGCAACAGTGTACAATTTGGTTTAATATAATGAAACCTTTTCTTCAAAGTCGATTATCCAGTGCGGAGTGCCTCAAGGTTCTATTCTTGGGCCACTCGTATTTCTCCTCTATATTAATGACTTAAGTAATGTTTCCAATATCCTTGAATTGATTTTGTTCGCCGATGATACCAATATATTTTTTTCTCACCAAAAATTTTCATCTCTTGTAAATACTGTTAATTATGAAATTGACAAAATATCTGAATGGTTTAAAGCCAATAAGTTGTCGTTAAATTTAAAGAAATCTAACTACGTGATATTTAAATCGAGACAAAAAAGAATTGATATTGATTTATCTTTGAAAATAAATGATCATCAAATCACTAGGGCAAAAGAGGTTGTTTTCCTTGGAGTTATTCTAGATGAACATATTTCCTGGAAACCTCATATTTCTTACGTTGCCAGGAAAATATCAAAATCTGTAGGTATTATATACAAAGCGAGTTTTTTCCTGTCCAAATCTACTTTACGTAAGTTATATTTTTCTCTAATTTACCCTTACTTACAGTATTGTATAACTGTATGGGGTTCTACGTACCCCACTAATCTTAATCGTATTATTCTACTTCAAAAGCGTATTATTAGGATACTCGATAAACAACCATTTGATGCACATACTGATCCGCTTTTTATTAAGTTAAAAATTCTTAAGTTCGATTGGATTTATTTGCATCATCTTGGAAAATTCATGTATCAATATCACAACGGCTTACTACCTAGAAGTTTTGACAATTTCTTCCTACCTGTGAACCAAGTTCATAATTATTTCACACGGTCGACTAATCTGTACCAATTATCGTTCTGTAGGACTAATATTAGAAAATTTTCTGTCGCTTATCAAGCTCCTAAATTTTTTAATTCATTAAGTGATGACATACGAAGTGCACCTAGTATTACGTCATTCTTTTCTAAATTAAACAGTTTTCTATTTACATTGTGATATTGACGTTTGTGAGTGTTTTTATTTTTTGTGATTGGTTACTTTCTTTTTTTTCTTGTATTTCTTTCTTGTATTTAATTCTGTGTTTGGATTTATATTCTGTGTGACTGACCACTGATCTATCAGCTTTAATTGTGTGAAAAAGGAGCCCAATATAAAATAAGCCTCTTGGTTTCATTTTGGGCTACCTTGCCTTTATTTCTTTATATTGTTATATAAATATTTTTTGTTTGTGTGCGTGTGTGTTAATCGTAATTATTATGTATATTAATTTGGCAAAATAAATTTGATTTGATTGATTGATTTGATAGCGTGGCTAGTCGAATTTTCGTATCTCGCTTTTCTAGGCCAGTGGCGACTTCGTAATCTTCCCACTGCTGTTTGAAAAACTCCCAGTTGGCTACTTTATCTCCCTGGCAAACCATCGGGGAAGGTACCGGGAAAGTAGATGTAAAATTTAACGTTGTAGCTTGAGCAACGGCTTGTTGTTCACCGCTTGTATCTGGCATGTTTATGACACCATGTTTGTAATCGGTATTTTTAATGTCTCATATATACATCAACCTTTCTCTACTAGGTCTAACCAAAAAGTGTCTCATAAAAGTTACAACAACAATATGTAAATCCGTGTCCTCGTTCAGCCAAGTGTGTCTGATCGTGTGACCTAACATATTTGCATATCGGAAGTAATAACCTGGAAGTTCATATCGTAACAAAGGTTATGCAAGTAGATACAAGCAAATATAGAAACCAAAGTCGAGAAATTCGACATGAAAATGTATAGGGTCCATGCTCAACTTTACTGTTTTTAGCGATAGCTATTGAAAATTTGTCCATCATCAATGTCATCATCCCTCATCTACATGCATGTATGATTACATAATTGATTGCGGTTTAATAAGATTTAGAAGCAGTTTTTATTTTTAGACTACATGATATTATATTCTTCGATGTTAACACGTTCTTTGAAAATATCGCTATCCATTGTCCGCTTCCAAATCATGACTACTTTGGGCAAGTATCAGAAAAAAGGCGGGAACGGGAAATTGGGATGAGGCATGGCGGGATAACGGGATTTTATATGAAAATTGGTCGGGATAGCGAGATTTCGGAACCCAGTACAGGCCCCTCTCTATAGTTGATGTCGCTCAACTCGCTCCGATGCGAATCCGGTATCGCGTAACTGGGGTGTTCGTGTTTATATGTCTTCCTGTTTAAACGTCTGTCGGGTATATTAAGCCGTTGTTGGCAGGCACCGTGTGTGTCGATCAAGGATTTGTACAGTAGCTCGCTCGAAGAAATGCACAAATTAATAACCAGTTGATTCCCAGCGCGATGAAACACTTATCCACATATTCACTGCTCTTCTGATGTGCTCTTAGTTTATATTAAGATTTGTTTAGCAAATTCGATTGGTGGAATCGTTTACGAATATTGTTCAAAATTTTGGATCAGATTTGAATTAAAGCCAAACAATTGTTGTAACCTAACATTTGTATACAGTTAACATATTGTATAGTTGCATTCGATTTATATGAAACCAAGTGGGAGGTGGTCAATTTTAACGACCTATCACTGGCATGCTCTTCTTTACCTATCTTTCGCCTGATTTCTAATAATTTGTTTCCAAATCGTTCCTACACCAAAAATATTTGAAATTCAATTAAGTATATTTCATACATACTACACTGTCTTTCGTAAATATTAGCAAAGTTTGATAAATACGAAAAACGGAATTTCTTATTTCGACAGTGAAAGTGTTTCCTAGATTTACGCGTCGATCGCCGATTAAGCTAGATTGAAAAACTCTACTCATGCCTAACTCGACTTATTTTAGTTATTTATAGAATATCATTGATTTACTATGTTATATTATTATATAGTAGCACTTCATCGAAACGACGAGAATTAGGAATGGCATATTCTACGTGTGACACAAATGCTCTTCGAGATGCCATATTGCGAATGTGGACACCAGCAGTTGGCGCAAAGTCATTATATGAAGTAACTGTACGTAATCAACAAAAAATCAATGCTTCATTCGGGCATGGTAATTTTTATGGTCGACTAATGGCGTCACGCAACATTCCAATGCGCCCATTCTTCCCAAACGTGCAGGATTATTCCGACAACCAACCACCGTTCGAGATTGCAGAAGAGATACTCTCAGGCAGTTGGAGTGAAGGGTTGTTCTTGTACGGTCACTCAAAAATAAAAATTCCCGATATGGATTATATGTTGGTTCTAAAAAATATTTCATTTTCCAAAGAAGATCAACTTTCCGGTAACTTGACATTAAAGGAAGACACGCCATTTGTTTACGCTTACATAACAGATGAAGACTCCGTGAAAATGTGGAATGAGTTTTTGGCAGACCGAAAGGATGTAGCAGGAAAGCGATTATCTTCGAGGAAACTAAAACAAAAGCTACACCAGAACTACCAGAAATTGCCTTTAATTTCGCAGAGTGATAATTCTAATGATGTTGACGATGGGGCGGCCATGTATATCAATAGAGTTGACTATGCCACGCCTTCATTAAAGGCGGCTAGCAAAGTGCTTACCAACCAATTCGGGCGACATTTTGGTAATATAATAGATTTTGCAAGAGAACTTCAGAATGAGATCTTCACAGGTTCGGATATTGTGCTAGCCATATCGTGCGAAGGTTGGCCGTGTTGTGCAATAGAATGGATAAATCGGGATCGGATATGGCCACATCGTCATGTGGTGCAGAAAATTACGGAAGATGGTTTCCACATTGTTCCCAAGAGGTCGACAGAAGGAGATTTCCGCTTGTCGTTCTCGTGCGCTGAAACTAAACTGATTGAAAATCTGACTGAGCTACAGCATAAAGTACTTCGCTCTTTCAAAGCTGCAGTTAAATACTATCAGGACACTTGGAGTCCAAATATCAAGGAAATTATCACAACATATCATCTAAAAACAATCGCATTTTGGCATTTTGAAAAAATTACACAAGGCTCCATCACTAAGGAGACAGTGGTCACGCATCTCATTTTATTGCTTCAAGAGCTGGCACACGCTTTGAGAATACGAGAACTTCCCATGTATTTTATGCCCAAGGTGAACCTGTTTGAAAATGTTGAAAATTCTGAGGAGACGATTAAAATAGCGGAAAAGATCGACCGATTAGCCGTGGAATATCCTTTTCTAATAATAGCTTTAGAGAACATCACGTGCTGTTTTAGACAACCTCTTGGGCTTGCAAGTTTCAAAATGGGAGAATTTACTGACTTTTCGTCTAGGCTACAAAAGACAGGAAAATCAAGTGGAGTACAAAATCCTTCAGAAGGAATGATGCAAGAATTATTTACGTGTTTAGATAGCATGAAGGGATTGCGTGCATGTCTGAACCCAATGACCTACATGAAATCTACACCACAAAATGAGCGAACAGTTCCAGAACAAACCGACGGAACTCCCATGTCTACCAATAATTCGACAATTCTACAACAATTTTATTTGGATACAGGAGAATTGATTGACTTAGATTAACCAACCTGTACCGACGAAGCGGGCGAGTTGTTTGTTTTATCATGCCTTGGAATTGGAGAAACAACAGTCGTTTTTGATATAAATTTTCGTTTTCCCTTCATGAATTGATTGGTCAACTGCAAATGAAAATAGATGTGATACAGTATATCACACGTCATTCTCAATGGAAAAGATGCGTTGCTTATGGAAATGAACGGAACTATCAATTTCTAAAATGTGTAAAAGGGTGTGTTATTTTGAATTCTATCAGTTTTATTTTAATGTAAAATTTAACATAAAAAGTTGTAATGTTCATTAAAATTAATTGCTTTTTAAATTTTGCCTCATAAAATTCTTCAAGTTATTACCAGTACTTTGAAATGAATTAAATTTAAATTATACAGGCGATAAACGAAAATGAGCTTCAAAAAAACTTTAAAGAAGTAAGAAGCTTTCTGATACAAACTGTGCATGTTGTAGCTATAGGCAAAATTTGAACAACAAAATCATACATAAACAGTCAAAACAAAATTACCCTATGCTTTAGGATTTTCCATACTAAATCGGTTTTTATTGTACATTAAAGTGCCTATGACACGAAATTTAAGCCCAAAGGTTTATGGTTGCATTGTAAAGATCACGTAAAATGACTTAATAATTTCTTTTATAGAATTTTGGTAACTTGCTCCCTTTTCAAGATATTCAACTTTGTTTCATATGCAAATATCACCGGTGTGACATCACATCACATAATGAGTTTTCAGAAAAGTATTGTTTTCTTGACGAATACGTATCTAAAAAACTTAAATATTGCCCTTGTATAATGTATTAATGTCATAACTGGTAATTAACCCTTTGTATTTGTTTGTAAAAATATTTTTTATCGAGGTAAAATATTGCGTTTTCAAAATGTCATTATGCGATGTGATGTCACACCGGTGATT